CCCTTCACGCCGCCCCCCGCCCCTCCGCCCTTTTTGTTCCGTTGTTTTGTTTGCTACGAGCCCACATTCCTGTTTGTAACTCTCGGTTCTCCCGGTTCTGTCTTCAGTAAAGTCTCGTTATGCCAGCTCGCCTGTCCGCCTCCTTCTTCCCGGCCGGGCCGAGGCCTGGGCGGAGCCGGCCTCTCCCATCCCCCAGCGCCCGGCCCTCCCCCTCCCTCCGGGCCGGCCGGGCGGGCGGGGTCTGCACATCTGGCGCGCGGCGAGCGCCATCTAGGCGCCGGCCCCGCGGTGCCCGGGCTGGAGAGGGGACGGGATGTCCCTTTGCCTTCGGGAAGGAGGGACTCGCGGTGGGCAGGAGCAGCCCCCGTCCGAGACCGGAAGGAGGAGGCAGAAACATCTCCTTTTCTTTAACCCTTCCGGGCTCTGCGTGGGTGAGACAATGGAAACCTTGCTGTCCTTTGTTGGAGGGAGCAAGCCGGGGCCCCGGGACTAGGAGGAAGGTGGCAGAGCGGGTCTGACCCGAGCGGCGGCCCCACCCAGGACTGGAGTTTAGCCAGGATGGGCCGGGATCTCCCGGAAGCACCCTCCTCTTCGAAGTCCCCTTCGTCACTTCAGGAACTTGGAACACTCAGGTTGAACAAGGGACTTCGGGTCACACAGGGTTTTCAGTACCCTGGGCCATGGGCTTCTGACTCAGAAGGACCCGGAGGGAGGGATGTGCCTGTAGGTGCCCGGTCACACCCGGTCCAGTAGGCTGACAGAGTCCTAGCCAGCCCTGCCGGCGAAGGCGGGGCAGCCGTGCCCACTTCACGGACGAAACGGGCACTAACAAAGGCCCCCACGTCACCACAGCCCGGTGGCCAGGAAGAGTAGGAGTCTTCCTCCCCCGGACCCCGGGACCCCCTGGCTGCCCACTTTGCAGGGCCTCCAGCCGTTTTGGTATTTACTTCTGCAGTCCTGGGGAGTGAACCCGGGGCCTTTGCACTGAGCTACACCCACTGTTTTTAAAATATTGAGACAAGATCTCACTGTGTAGCCCAGGCTGACCTTGCATTTGTGATCCTCCTGCCTCGGCCTCGGGAGTGCTGGGACCACAGGTGTGTACCACCTCGCTGGGCTCAGTGTGCAGCTCTGTGACTGAGGAAGTGGGTGTGTCGAGTCGGGTGGACTTCAGAGCTGCTGGGGGAAGCTGTGATGGAGGGATTCTTTCTTCTTTTGCTGGGTGCTTTTTTCCTCTCCGTTCCTCCCTGCTTTCCTTCCCCTTCTCTTGTCTTTTGACCTGAGGTAATCAGTCCAGGCCCTGCTACATGCTAAGCAGTTCCTGTAGCACCACTCACCCCCAGCCCTTTCTTTTCTAGGTTTCGGTGCTTTTTGAAACCAAAGCTCCAACACCTCCTGGTGTCTCCCTCCAGACACTTCACCCCCAAACTGACAGTTTCCTTTCTTCCTGGCCTCAGGACCTTTGCATGGCCACTTAGCTGAGCTCCACTCCCAGATGGGGTGCATGCCTTGCTCTCTGACGCCGTCCTCACAGCTGGGCTGGCCAGCTCCCTCCTGGCCTGCTGTCTGGTTCCCAGGGCCCGTGTCATGGCAGGGTCGCTGATCCCTGTGGACAGTGACTAAAGAACCAAGTCCTGTGCAGCGCCTTGTTCTTGATTTCTGTGTGGCTCTGGGCTTGGAATCCAGAGCCTGGCACAGCTACATCCCCATCCCTTTATTTAGATTCTGGGTCTCACTAAGTTGCTCAAGCTGGCGGGGAACACGATCCTCCTGCCTCAGCCTCCCGAGTAGCTGGGATGACAGGCATGCACCACCGCGCCAGCTCAGCTCATGTCCTTGGTTTCTCCCAAGCCCCACCCTGCTGGCCTCACCCCTCTCGCCCCAAGGACTCCCAGGGGAGCCAGGCCATGTGGCCTTGGCCAGAGCTGGCTGTGCTGTGGCCAAGGTGTGTGTCAGCCTTGGCCTGGCCTGCGGTGACTCACCCTGGGCGGTGGCCTGGCCCTCGAGGTGCTGGCCCGCATCCCCCTCCAGGGATCTGGCACAGGGCAATGCTCAGTGTGGTTATGTGGCAGGCCCTGGGGGGCTCAGGTCTAGCTCCACCCCCGGGAGCCCCCAACAGAGCTGTTAGTCGTTCAACAGAGGGTGGAAGTCAGAGCATGTCCAGCCTGCTCTAAGGACTGTCAGCCCTGGCACCTGACACAAAAACTAGCAAATACTGGTAATCTCACCTGCTTGGGAGGCCGAGGCAGGAAGATCTCAAATTCAAGTGAACTGAATAGTTTAATGAGACTGTCTCAAAATAAACAACCAGAAATAGGGCTGGGGGTATGGTTCAGTGGCAGACAGCCCCTGGGTTCAATCTTCAGTACCAATTCCCTGCACAGAAGAAATAAAGAGGAAAAGACCTGAAACCCACATGAACTCCTCCATTGCTCTCTGAGGGCCCGCCTTCTCGGCCTTTATTGCCCTCCTGCAGCCACAGGAGTCTCCTGATGTTCTTGGTCCCACCCAGCTCCTTCCTGCCTCAGCCTTTGCTCATTCACCTACCTGGGGTACCATCCCCAGCTCTTCCAGGGTCTCTCTCCTCAAGTCCTCCTCCTTTGTGGCCCACTTCCTGAATGGCCAGTCTCATCTCCCTCTTTTATGTCTTCCCCTTTTTTTGAGGTTAAGTTCTCCAGACTAGGCTTGAATTGATGATCCTCCTGCCTCAGCCTCCTGAGTGATGGGATCATAGGTGTGTGCCACCTCACCTGGCAGCCTCCGCTTTCATACCCCAGATTATTTGCCTTGCACTGCCCACACCAGGGTGGGTTTCAGCACACAGTAGGGGCTCAGCAGTTACCCAAGGAGTGACAGCCTCTACATTACGGAGAGGCAGGTTTTGGGGTCCCCTCTGTGCCCAGAGCCCAAACTTTCTGCCCTGGATGTCCAGGCAACAGGTAGCAGCCCTGTGGCCTCAGCCCTGACCCACCCACCCCCTGTCCCCCACCCAGGTTTTGCCTTCTAGGGCCCCTCCCCCGAGGGCTGCTGGGATTGGCCAGAACCCTGCCGGATCACAAAGCACCCAAGGTCCGGCCCACAGCCAGCCACTGAGGCTGGTGGGTTCAGCTGCAGGGCCAGGTGAGTGGGGCTGGCAGGGCTTGTGTGTGGGCACTCGGGGTCCCTGTCACTCTCCTCTGTGCCTCCAAAATCCCCCTTCGTCCCCCAGGCTGCTCTGATAGGCAGATCAGCCCCTCAGCCCCTCAGAGCAGGGGTGTTAGGCAACCCCAAGCCCTGAGGGGGACTTGTCCTGCTGAGGGCCATCCTGGACAGCCTGGGGGACTCTTGGTTTGTGTGGCAGGGAAACATGATATTGGCCAGCTGGCTCTTAACGCGTGTGTGCTGGCAGCTCCTGCTGCTCTTCCCACCGTGCTCCTTCCTTCCTTTCTTTTGGGTGGGGGGTTGAGATAGGATCTCGTCATGTAGTCCAGGCTGGCCTTGAACTCACCATGTAGCCCAGGCTGGCGACCCTCCCGCCTCAGCCTCCTGAGTGCTGGGATGACAGGGGTGCATCTGATGGCAAGGCTCCCTTAGGGGCAGGGACACCCCTGCCCCCGTCACGAGCTGAGGACTCAGGGGACCACATGTGTCTGCTGTGGGCCCCTGGCGTGTTGTGGGCAGTAACTCTGCTTCTCTGCACCTCAGTTTCCCCATTGGGAAATGAGTTAAGTCCCAGTGGCTGACAGTGTCTCGGATCACCCACATCTGCCTGTCCCAGTTTTTTCCTGTTCTTTCCTTGGTCTGGCTGTGTGGCCAGTTACAAGGGGAGCGTGTTCAGACCTCCATGGTCGATTAGGATGGGCCTGTTTGGTTCTGCCCATGTCAGCTTTCTGTATTTCATGGCTCGGTTATGAGGCACGGACACATCTGTTGCTATCCTGCCTTCTGAATACATTACCCTTTTGTGAGGTGACGTGTGATTCCTGCCGATAGTCTGTCCCCCAGTCAGCCTGGTCCGACACAGACACAACGCGTGTGCAGCCCTTCCGCCTTAGAGCGCCTGTTCCTTGCCTGGTGAATCTTTTCCTGCCCATTTACCTTCCACTTGTCTGTGTCTACACTTAAAGGATATATCAGGTAGCACAAGTTAGGTTTTTTTATTGATTCTGGCTGGGTGTGGTGGTGCACGCCTATAATCCCAGGACTGGGGTAGCTGAGGCAGGAGGATCGCCATGAGTTCGAGGTCAGCCTGGGCAACCTACTAAGACCCTGTCTCAAAACAAAGACCAAAAACCAAACATAAGCGAAATGACATTTGCTATGGTTTTGTGGTCAGCATTACCATGGTTAGATATTAACTTGCCTATTTTTATACGCTTTTATTAAAAATAGCTATTGGGTTTGATAAAATCCTTTTTGGGTACCCTTCAAAAGAAACTTCATGGCTGTCATTCAGTTTCTAGATGTAATGAATTGTCTTGGGGTTTACAGATAGGAAATCATTCTTATGGCCTTGGAAGAACTCCTACTTGGCTGTAGTACAGATATTTCTCATTTAATAAACGATCCATTTAATGACTGTTCAGATCTACAGCCCTCTGCTCAGACTTACAACCGAGCTTTTTGTGTACAGCTGTGTACATCTCGTTGATAGAGCCTGTCTCTTCGTTTGTGCAGCCCACCTTGTTTATACAGTACTGATTTTTGCTCATTGTGTTGTACCATACTGTACTTTTCTGTCCTGTTATACATTACAGTACTGCAGGTAACAGCTTTGCAAACAAAAACAAAGTCATGAAGTTGGAGTTTCCTTTGGCCATTTCTTTGTTCTGAATATTGTAACGTAAATACTATATTCAACTTCTCATTTATCAACCCGTTCATGTAACAACCTAGTCACAGGATGAGCTCGGTTGTTAAACGAGGGATGTCTATAATATTCTTTTTTTTTTTTTTTGGTACTGGGGATTGAACTCAGATCCTTCCGCTTGCAAGGCAGGCGGCGGAACTACTGAGCTAAATCCCTGGCCCCTATAATATACTTT